TCGATTGCGGCAACCGGCGATCGTGTCCGGTTGCCGCAATCGAAATTGTATGAAAATGTTCGGTTGCCAGTTTGCATTGCGGCAACCGGCGATCGTGTCCGGTTGCCGCAACCGGCGAACGTGTCCGGTTGCCGCAACCGGCGACTTCATATAATATGAAAATAGTATATTCGCCTCTGGTTGCCGGTTGCTTGTATCCAACCCAAGACACACGTTGGCGCCGGGCCTGCTAAGGACAGGCGTGTCGCTTTCTACGAAACTCAATACAATTTTTAAAAAGTCCTCCTTGTAAGCCTTAAATAAATCCGGCCCTTCTAAGCAATTCACGGCAATTTCTAAGCTTCTTTCTATGAAATATCGATCTTGGTCTTGCCTATCGTTTATGCAAATGATAGTCGTGACTACTACCTTATATATTTTTTTCTTTGATTTGTTTCAGATTCCCAAACATCTCTGAACGACGATTCTGATAGCTTCTCTGGCGAAGTAGATATTAATCGAGCTTTGAGCAGGTAGGTGATTGCTTAATGTTAGAAACACCTACTTTTTTCTTTTTTAACACACACACTCATAGCACTAGGGAAAGAAACTCTGTGTCTCGAATGCCATGGACACACATAGACAACCACAAATTACACCCAAACTCACAAGAGAAATGTAGGCCAAACAAACATTTCTCCCGGCCCAGGAAGCGAACCCGGGACCGAGGCCACAAAGGCAGTTTTAAACTTTAAGAGAATATAAATCTTGTATATGTATTGCGAATTTTCACGAAAATTACTAATAATTGAAAGTGGGATGAGTATGAGTGATAATAATAAAATTGTACTTTACATTTATTTTATGTTTCAGAAACACATTGGATGACACTGTAGATGATTTCGGAATTTCGGATTCTATAACAGGGCGAGCTGTGGACACTGATACACAATTTGCAAACGATCTCAAAGTATTCGCTTAAACCTTTTGTTGTTGCTAAATACATCAGCATGTATAACGTCGTTATAAAAATAATGTAATGCTTTAATATTTTGTTTTGTAGGGCAGTGCCGTTGTCATTCTATTTAAATGGCATTATTTAATAAAATAATTATTTACTACAATTAATGTTTTATTTAATGTATTTTCGTGAATGGGTTTAGTGTTTTTTATTATTGTCAACCTATGTAAATGAATACAAGTCAATAGAAAGCTTCAAAATTTGAAGTCAGTGATCTGTAACATTGTACAAGGTATTACGATAATGCGCGATGATCTGTTACAATTAATTGAATATAATTATGTGAGTTTGAGACTAAAGACAAATAGATAATAAGACGATTTTCGTTTTCTTTTGTCCATCGATTGGAATTATGCAATTCAGTCTTTGCCTGTTAATATTAGAATGTATACATACTACGACATTTTTTTTATTAGACCATCTTATTGGTTGTAAACTAGTTCATGCAGAATATCATGACTGATCACAAGATTCGCTCTGGACCTTTTGGAGGGAAAAGTGTCGTTTTTATTTTGACTTTAAATTATTTTGTGAAATCTAGTTTAAAGTAGAATAGGATAGTGCTATTGTGCCTTAATCGAAGATTAAAACGCGAAATTATACGAATCTCGAACTAAAATACACTTATCGGCCCGTTTTAAGAAACCCCGAGTCAATCCAAGCACGCCGCCTCAAATTGCCTATCCTCTTTGTGGCGGCCATATTTACAGAAACATAATTAAACTTCATGTTTAGGCTAATGGCTTTGCCAAAGCCTTAATAAATTTAAAAAAAAATCATGACTGATTATCAACCAATGAGAGTACAGATATTCAAGCGACATCTAGTGGTGAATTTTAGAATTAGATTTTGACTTTGACATTTTGGTGTACTGTGTTGATCGACAGGTCGAAGATAATTTCATTTGTATTATTTAATAATTAACACTTTGTTACAGTAACCAATAACGAGCGTATGTATGTTTGTGCAGAGCCATGAATAAGTCGGTGTCGCGTTTATCACCCCTCTTAAAATCAGCTGTGACGAAGCAAGGGCCTCTAGTATTGAGTCGCAATGCAGGTGGATGTGGTGTTCCTGAGGATACCTACACTCATACAGGCCAGGTATTTATCATATTATAAGCCTTACGTTCCTACGCTCATTACATAAATGCTGTGCGGCGCATAGCTCAAGTGAAGATTTTTTCTTACTGAGCCTTACATAACAATTGTTATTTTCCTACTATGGTGCTAAACTGTATCCGACGACCCCAAAAGGACCTGTCTTAAAATTATCGAATTGATTATGCACACATACTTGTATCATAATCATCAGAACAACAAAATTATCGCCAGCTCCATGTGTGTAAGCAATTGTTATATTTTTTCACAGAAATGGGATACGGAGGACTACAGACTAGCTAGATTTATGAACAGCCCCAAGCAAGTAAACCCGAACTGGGCTGTGAACTTGATAGCTGCAGTGCCGCCTCAGGCAGTTGATCAAAGTGTGGTATGGTGTGATGGAGGCAGTGGACCTGAGGGACATCCTAGAGTTTACATCAATTTGGTTACTATCTGTTACAACTTATGTATAAGACAATAGCTACATGATTTAGCTTAAGTTTGTTGACTACTTTTATTTTAAGAATTTTTCAATAACATGTTTGTAATTTTTCAGGATAAGCCAGGAGAGCATGCTTGTGGATATTGCGGTCTACGCTTTGTTCAGACATCTTCTCACTAAAGTATAATATTAGAATGATTTTAAATTTAACTATAACATAGTGAATGATTTAAATTACTGTACACCTGTGTTGGTAGAAAAAAAACAATATCTGTTGTTTTATTTAACAATTTACAATTTTATTTGCTATCTTCCTCACATCTATAATGATATATAAAGTAACCAAAATTATTTTTATAATACTGTAACATGAAACTATTCAAACGTTCTTGTAGTATAGTGACGTTCACTTGATTAGAAACTAAATAAATTTTATAGTAAATCGTGAATTTTCCTTTTTAAGTAATATCACAAACTATCATTTTACAATAAAATTATGTGGCACACTTTAAACTAAGTTGACGGCTTGTAAAATATTGCCATTGCCACAACAGAAGTGTATAGTAAATACACCAATAAAATACATTATATCCTACTTTACGTATTCACTAAAGAACAAACTTAATTTAATATATGAATCTAGCAACTTAGTGCATATTCCTGCAACTTTTACCAAACATGTCTTAACAACTATGAACTGGAAATGTGACACAACAAGATAAATACAGATAAGTATTTAGGGGCGTTAGTTTCAAAATTAAACAATATTCTACCTTTAAAAATCCCTATTAAAGAAGACACTGCAAATACATCTAGTGACATCGAACTAAAAAAAAATTCCTAAATGATATTTATTCTTTAGTGAACATGCAGCTTTCCAACATAAATTATAATTCACAGGTACATTATTGTTTACTTTAAGTATGTATACAAGCTTTTGTATTAGGCGTTATTTACTTCTTCATTGTCTATGTTCTCTTTCCGTAGTTCATTTCTGATCTCAATGTTGGACTGTAGAAGTTCCTTCAGACGTTCATGAATGGCATCATTCTTTTGCTCCAGCACATCAAGGACTGAATTCAATTCGTCTAATTTAGAATCCAGGAAATCATATTCTGCAAAATATAAGTGCATTTAACATAGGGTCACTCTCTTAAATATAGTAAATACAATATATTTTAGTTGTATATATTCTTCTTACAGAACAGGTTTATGTATAATGTTTCAGATGTCTTTTTGACCCACATTAGCACCAAAACAGTTTACTAAGCAAAAAAACCTGAGAATGTTTTGAAACTTTTATCGAAACAAACCTACATACATTATAGATATTGACCTTGCTATAATATAGAGTTGACTTTATAATCTAGTTAATTTTTTTTTTTTTTTTTTTTTTTAATTTATTTCCTATCAACTACTTAGGTATATTACAATCACATTCACCTTCGCGAAGATTTGTATCAGAATGTTGATCATCTTCAGTTGGGTCTACATCACATTGAGAGACTGATGCATCTCCATTGACTTTGTTATCGTCTTGACCAGCCATTGTTGTAGACTGAATTGATAGTAATAATACTATACAGAAAGCTTATATCTTTTATAAATACTAAATTTTAACGTAATTTTAATTACAATTTTTTTCCTGCTCTAGCAAATAATTAGCAATCACCTGTCAATGTTTTCGGAATTGAAACTCTTTGACATTTGATATCTATGGGTGACCAATTTCAAATTTAGAAAATTTATCAAAATAGGAAACAAAAGCAAAAGGTAATATGAAGTGATGACATTATTCACCAATAGTAAATTAAGATAAAAATTATTAGAACAAATGCATAAAACAGATTTAAAACACATTATTATGTAATCAATAAAAAAATATTAATCCCAGAACCTTACAATAAAAAAATTTGATCAATCGACACATTACTTCTGTTTAACATGCACTATCGACAAAGTTGGAACTACAGACACATATCTAGATAGACGCCGCAAGTGTATTTCGCGTGCCCAAAGTAAGTGAAATTCACTTAAATACCGCTGCTACACTTTGGAACCCGCTCGACCGTTATCGTAGATAAACACCAGTCGACAACGCGAAAAATGTTTAATTGTGCCATTATGAACTGTAAAAGCACCATAACTGTGGGTAAACGGATAAACAGGGAGGTTTCCTTACACGAGCAAGTGATTTTGTAATCAGAAGATACATAATTTATTTTAAAAACAATTATTTTGCTTTTGTACGAATTCCGAGAAAACAAATATGCGACCGAGTGTATGTCTCATATTTGTAATACATTGCGGCTTTTACTTGGTGCGATATATTTGTGATACTTTGTTAATACACCATGAATATCGAACGAACGCACTTTTGTATAATACATCCAGTTTCGTGGTACGGCCGCTTGTACATTTCTTTGGCCAAATTTAACATTTAGTGATGTATACATTAGGCAGCACTGTTCTCAATTCTGATCGATTTTGAAAACAAAGGGATGGAAATTATTATGAACTTAGCAATAATATAAAAATATTCTATAACTCTTTTGTTATAACGTTTAGTACCTTTTCGTTTTTTTTTTTCAGTTTTGTACTATATATTATCAGTACCTAGTATCTGTAATTTCGATAATTTTCGCAGCACGTTGCCTCGAATGTCCGAATATAGTGAACAAATAATTACTTACATTGCCGGACGTGTAGTATGAGTACTACAAAAAAATATACATAATGCAAAGAATTAACAGTGCGCTGTCTTTACAAAAACCTGGAGTTTATCATATGAATGAGTTCGTTGCTTTCGAGGACGAAGGTGGTCTAGTTTATGCCACTTAAGATGGTATCCAAATATGCAGAGTAGCAGAGTTAGAAATCCGAGAAATAATAAACAAATCACAAAAGTTTCACATGCGGCTATCATTAAGTAAACCTCCTCAGATTAATAAGATTTTACCATATTTTGTCAGCAGTAACATTTTCATTTGTCTTGGTATTCATCAAGTTGATCAATTACCAACAGAAAACCATCTAGTAAAATTAATTAAGGCAGTCGCAAGTTCATATATTGACATGCGTATTCGTTATTTAAGTTAATCGGTAAGATCTTCTATTACAAAAATATGTTATATAATAAGCTCATTTTATTGGAAGTACAATAATTTCAATATTTGAAGTCGATTAAAAATTAAAGCCTTAATTTTTTAAACATTTTTTTATAAACAAGTAAAATAAAGGACTTAACTAACTTATTCTAGTATTTTTCTACATTATTATTATTACGACTACTTGTAATCAACAAATACTTGAACAAAAATTATTCTATTTATAATCGATTAATTAAATAAATAAATAACGCACACACATAGCCCCGTACTAGGGAAACCCTGTGTCGCGGGTGCCATGGACACACACACATATACAACCACAAATTATACCCAAACACACGAGAGAAATAATTGTAGGCCATACAACTATTGCTCCCGGCTGGGAATCGAACCTGGGACCTCTGCGTGGCAGTCCAGCATGGTAACCATTCGGCCACGGAGGCAGTTGAAAAGAATACGCGTATTTATGCGTATTCCGTTCAATCAATCGATTTAGAGCGAGTGGAAGGAGGTTTTTAAATGGTTCTTGTGACGTCATAGTGGGTACAAAAATGTGGTACGCTTGGTTTTCATACGAATTACTGTACTTGCGGCGCTATCTAGATACATGTCTGCGCCGGTTGGAACCTTAAAAGTCCCAAAACAGTTTTATTTACAAGCGGAGATTGTGGTTAGCCTCGTCCCGTATTTTAATGACCTTTTTTGTGAAAACTTTTTGTTAAAATAAACTTATATATTATAGCTGGGAGTGGCTACCTCTCACCATCGTTGCCTGCACGCAAAAAAAAAGCCATGGTGGTAACGCGTCCATTTTATTATGATTTTTACTTAATACATGACTTGTGTTGAAAATGTAGTGATAGTTCTACTATGGCTGCAAGATTATTATAGAAATGGCAATATCAAATGTAAGTCGTAGACAACATAGAAATTTGTCAAGTGACTCGAATTTGTTTCGTATTTCATACTATACAATTTGTTTTAAATTTCCCTGTGTGAAATCCATTTTATTTCTACTTATTAAGCTTTATATGTCTAGAAGCGATTCTTGCTAACAAGATTAGTTTATTTTTTTAAGTTTATGACTTTTATTAAATTTCAATGATTTATATACATTGAAATTTTCTTTTGTTTTGAGCATTGAGTAGAGTTCTGGAATACGACTCTATGTATGTATTTCATGTTAGGATGGAAAAACATTATACCTAAAAAAAAATTGTCATTGGCTCAATTGCTGTTCATGATGATCGGATGGAATAAAAATTACAGACTTCCATAGCTAAGGATGGGGGACGGGGAGGATTTGTTGTTGACTCGTTTTGTTAACTTGACATTTGACATTGACAGCTGTGTTCTCTCACGAAGGAACGGCAATTTTTTTATTTCATCGATAAAGTAATTTTGGAACGCGGAAAACAAAGAGGCAGTGTTGTATTTTGTCGATTGCTAACTTTCTTAGTTGATTGTGCATAATTTGCTGTGTAAGTTTCATAATTTACATGATAGTTCATTGTTGTGAGAGTGATTATACCAAGACTGATTTGTGTTGCACGAAGGCATAGCAGCACAGCGTAAGCAAATGCTCATGACAAGCCCTGCATTGTTTGCACCACACCAAAACTGATTGTTCCGTCATTGTTCTACTTGCCTGTTCTTATTTCGAATGTCGGTGGAGCCCCATTTGTAATAATACAAGGTTTTAAATCCTTAGAATATTTACGACGATGACTCATATAATGATCGATCTTGATTCAATAAATAAAGCAGTACGACTTATCTGTTTTACACCGAATAATAATAACTCCGATAATCTTCTTAATTGAATATTTATTACCTGTAATGAATAAAAAAACTAAACACTTTTATTGTTTAATGAATTTATAAAATATTTATATTTTGTGTCTACATTGGTATGTTGCTTGTTTAGGCCCTTTTAATTTTCACAATCTAAACTATTGACAGAGTTTTTTAATGAACCAAAAAGTTACAATAGTAACAAATAATGATATTAGCATTTGTTATTTTCAGCAAGATGACCTCAGGACCGTACAACTATTCCTACATTTTTAAGTACATTATCATTGGAGACATGGGAGTGGGAAAGTCATGTCTTCTGCATCAGTTCACAGAGAAAAAATGTAAGTCCTGTTGTATAATTCTATTTATGAACCATTATCTTGGAAAATACTTGTTTTAGCAGTCCTGTTTTTAATGTTTGTATCAATACAATATCAAACACCCATTTTATTTCCATATCTCTTACATCATCTCAAGAATTTTGAAACAGTTTTAATAGTGTTCTATTTCTTTATTTTTGTTATTTAATTTGTTCAAAACTGGTGCATATTTTACTGTTTTGTAGATTTATAAAGGAAACAAAGTATACTGAATTAAAGGATAAGCATTGTACTTCACAAATCATTACAAAAAGTGTGTGTTTACATTTCATTACCATGTGTGCATGTGTAGGCTTCTAAGCCTGAGGCTTTAAAAAAATTTCAGCAACTATTCTGACTATAACTTTCAATTTTATTGAATGTCACAATGTTTTACTACCATTTACTATATTTCATCATCATTACTATATTATAGTAGAGTAGGAGGTTTTTTTTAGTGTTCGATCTTTGTATGAATAAGTATTCTAACTGTTCATTCAATATTTTGTAAAAAGCAATAATGGTTTATGAGTATTATATACTTAATAGTGTGTAATGCTCATAAGCCATTATATAGCAGTTAATCCTAAAAATTGTGAAGTCAGTTATATGTATTATTAAAATGTCTTAGTATACATACAGGTACAGTTCCAGTAATGAATGAATAAGCCTGAAATGCCTAACAGCATAGCTTATGACTGTTAAAAATATATATATCGCAAGTAATAAGGTATTTTTTTTAATTAATTATTTATTTTTGCATTATTTTAGGTTTTTTGTAAACCTCGACCACAATCAAACTAATTCCTTCAGTATCCCAATATTCTACATTAACTGTGTTAATATAATAGACTGGCAATAAATAGTATGACTAAGGAAGTATTGCACTATTTTTTTAAAAATAAATTTTAATTTATTTTTCAGTGTAATTTTTTTTTTTTCATAAAGTTTAAAGGTCTATTGAAAGTAGATTTCAAAATAATATAATTCATTGTTCTATCTAATGTAAATAGAAAATTATTGCAATTAATGTGCAAAAGGAGTTTATGTTACTACAAAAACCATGTTTTACGCATTATTTTAGAATAGTTGGTCTCTCAAGTTATCATACATTTTTTTTGTATTCAAGACGCTCAAACTTTAGGGAAAATAAATCTTTGGACTGAAAAATAAATAAATAATGTTTAAGAAAAACAGCACAATACTATTTATTGCCTATCTATTATATTAACACAATTAATGTAGAATATTGTGACACCAAAAAACCGAAAAAATTAATTAATTTGTGATAGTGGTGTACAAAAACCTAAAATAAGCTAAAAATAGTTTCACTTTGTAGAAAAAAAAACATATTATGTACTACTTGGGATATATTTTTTTGAACAGTCATAAACTATGCTGTTAGGCATTTCAGGCTTATCCATTCTATATACAATTAATACATTAATAATGAATTGTATTTAACTTTTTATTTTATACATGTAAAAAAATTACTGTCATGTCTCTAATACATTAAATAGTCCTAGAACTCTGTACTTTAAACAAAAGCTATTTTAGAATACTATACCTTTTAACAGTCATGGCTGATTGTCCCCACACCATTGGTGTGGAGTTTGGGACTCGCATCATAGAAGTGGCAGGCCAGAAGATCAAACTGCAAATCTGGGACACAGCTGGCCAGGAGAGATTCAGAGCTGTTACTCGATCTTATTACAGAGGAGCTGCTGGGGCCCTTATGGTGTATGATATCACCAGAAGGTATTATTATAGATTGAATCTCTTACATTTATTTCTACTTATTTAAAAGATGTTGCTTCTTCACCATACTCGGTCACTTATCAAAATTTAATGTTATAGCTTAACATTTGGGTTAACACATCATAGACATAAGTCATAATTAATTTATTTATTGCAAATATGTAGTTGATTTGGTGGATATTTAAAAATTTTCAGTCCATGAACATGAACCCTGGTGGGGTACCGCAACGTAATAAACATTCATGTTCATAAAATGTTCACACAAAAATCTAATAATAAATAAACTAAAACTTAATATTCACTTTACATTTTCATATTGATCATTAAGTATATTTTATTTTTTCATATTTTTGGATTAATTGTTAGCCTTTGTTTATTATTAATTAAATCAAACCATTTTATTTTAAATCTCTCGGGCAGCAGGTGTGCGGCCGCTATTGCCTCCACCTGCATGCATGCTCTGCAGGGGGGCTTTATATTATACTTAAATTGATATAGGCGTTTTTTATAAGGACCACAATCTGTTAAAAGTAGTAGTTGATAGGTAGTCAAAATATGGAGCACTTGTGCTTTAGTTTTAGGAATGTTTGGGTAAGGCTGGTGCACAGTGGGCCCAAATTGATAATTCTTGGACATAACAATAACTTGTGGAGTATCAAGCAAATTTTTTTTTATATGATAGATAATAACATTCCTAACAACTTTTATTCTTGTATAATTTCTTTAAAAGTATGGAGATATATACATTTTATTTTTTATCTCAAAGTATACGAAAATACAGTTCGCGATTTTCCCGTACCTTACAAAGCCGCAAGTACATGCAGACGGATTATTTTTTCCTACATAGAAAATGATTGACACTATACTATAAGCAACCCACGCACATTACATTTTCGTATCTATCTATCACATAAAAAAAAGAGCTCGATACTCTACAAGTTAATCCTATGTCCAAGATTTATCAATTTGGGCCCACTGTGTGGCGATGCGTCGAAAACTTCATGCCAACCTTAATGATAGTCTAAGGGTCGTATTCTAGAACTCTAATCAATGCTCAAGTCAGGACTTGAGTATAATTCAAAGCACTAGAAATCATACTCAAGTCCTTGCCATTAGGGTCGTATTTCCAGTGCTCGAAATCTTACTCAAGTCTGCTCAAATTCTGACTTGAGCATTGAGTACAGTTCTGGAATACGACCCTCAGTATAGTTGATTACTGTTTTACTTTTGTATATTGACCTTAACAATCAATAAAGCAGGGACAGTGTAGATTTTGGCTGTTTGAGTTCCATTAAGATACATTAAGAAATTAGAAGCACTGTAGTAATGTGTACTTACACCATTAACTCACTTGTAGTTCAGACATTAGTAGTTTAGAATCTACATCAAGATTATTGAGAGTTTGGAATACTGGCATTCTACCGCAGTTATTTAAAGTTAAAAGGCACAGAGACTCCTTCCAGAACATTGCTATTTGAATTGATTTGCAATTAAATATACCTAATTTTGTGTGAAAATTATACCAGATGGCCACTAACATGATGAATTAGAACTTTGTAGGTACAGTTGTATTTTGCAGTATCGCTTTAGATGCTAAATTGAAATGGAATACTGGGCTCAGCCCTGCAATGTAAGGATTAAAAAAAACGAAAACTTGCATAAAGTCGATAAACGGCTAGGTTAGTTTACATTAACTTCTTTCACTGTTTGATAACATTCGGCATTTTCCTTTGGGTTATGGTGCCAACATTAATAGAATTTTCGTGCTGCAACTTTCTGTGAGGGTAGTTTGCAAACTGGGCCCCACAATAAGTTGTAAGAAATGAACGTTCTTATACTGGTGTCATTATACATGTATCAAAATGTAATTTATGTTAAGAAGAATAATTAATATTTTTTACATGAAAGCTAGTGATAGCCATAACATTGATATGAAGAGTAAAAAAACTGTCTTTTTTTAACAATGGCAATAGTTATGCTTCTATAACAAGATTGTTTTTGGTACTAAAACACTTTTTTGAAACAAAAACTTATATAAAATATTATAGGAATTTATCTTGGACCTTTATTATCGTCAAGATGCCTTATTTCCTCTTAGTCATTCTTTCTATCATTAGCTTTTCCTCAAATAAATGTATTTTGTATTTCTTGTAGGATGTGTATAGCCGCCACCAGTATCTATATCTCCCGGCCTGTATAAATTCTGAATAAGTTTTGATGTCTTTAAGTTCCGAGATATTTAGCATCAATTACAAGACTACCTCTACAATCATCAAAGAAAGGCCATTTCCATTTTGGTTAAAAACATTTTTAGAGTAGATTTTGCAAAATACTTAAAATAACAAAATTGGTAAACTCTTTGAACTATGAAACTGCTTTGGTAATTTAGTGCTCAATGTCTTTTGAGTAGACTTGTTAAAAAACTAATCATAATACACATGTGCATTTAGAACTTTTTTTAAACTTCCATTTGATCTCATCTATATTGTTCTGTTGAACATTAAAATACCCAAAGGTCCAGCTAACGCCAAAACCGTATTAAACCCCCGATTTAGTGCTTTGTCAACTTCAGCTCCAATTCTCAATAGCTGTGATAAGATTCAAACTCAATAGTTTTCAGTATATTCCACTGATATCTTTAGAATTTTGTACCTCGCTTTATCTTTACCCTCCACTGCAGGTCAACATACAATCACCTGAGCAGCTGGCTTACAGACACACGAAACTTGACCAACCCCAGCACTGTTATATTCCTAATCGGCAACAAGTCCGACTTAGATGGCCAGAGAGACGTCACATATGAAGAAGCTAAACAGTTCGCCGATGAAAACGGTTTAATGTTCGTGGAAGCTAGTGCCAAAACGTTAGTTAATTTTATACATTTATGTTCATCTACTCTAATGCAAATATTTACTTGTTTAACGAGTCGTTACTAATTTAATACACGAATTTCAGTGGTCAAAATGTAGAGGAGGCTTTCTTAGAGACAGCTAAGAAAATATACCAGAGCATTCAAGATGGGCGATTGGACTTGAATGCCGCGGAGTCGGGAGTACAGCACAAGCCCGCGTCGCCGGGTCGCCCGCTCGCTGCGCCTCCTTCCGCTAAGGACAATTGCGCTTGCTAACCGGTCACTTGCACTAGGACTCGCGGGTACTAAGCCAGGACGACGGTGGATACACTTCCACGCAACCCCAGTCAAAACACAGGGAACAATACTGTGGACGTCTCCCAAGGATTTCCTGGCTACGTCCCTCACACTTCGATTGGGGTAATCATACTTAATGAATAAGAATCGTTACGTTAGTAATAAATGCAATTATCAAGAATACCAATTTAATTTTGACATATTTGTAATAAGTACATTCCACATGAAAAATAAAAGATTTAGGATGAAATTAAGATGATCTATAGATAATAAACGCGATCTTTATACATATAGTTGTAAAGAGCATCACAAGCGGGATCAGATTACGCCGTGTCGATAATAGTTACATTTTCGGAGTTACATGTTATTGTAGTAAAAACTAAAAATACATTTTCCGGCTCGAATTAAATGTCTTGCTTTCAATATTAACTAGTTTAAATGATCAATATTTCTGTTGCTTTTATTAGGTACATGACGTTATTTATTGAATTTAAAGCGTGTATGTAATGGATATTCTTTTATTATAGATATCACTGTAGATGTATATTTCTTAGCGCAATTTTTAAATGCTAGATTTATGTTCAGGTCAAAACGCAAACTTAAACCTGATGTGTATGAAAATTATAATATTAAAATGGTGTGCAAGACAAAAAGGTGCATTTTCGTCTGACACCTTCGTTTTTGTGTACGAATCTCTGCAGTTAACGAACCTAGCGAATCGTCACAATTCTTCTAGTTAAGGCAGTCGACCTTCATGCGTCGTAATTAGGTGTAACTACTGATGTAAGCCACAATAATCAGCATTATTACATTGCGCCGAATGAATTCTCATTTTACTTCAAATTTATGTAAAAAAAAATGTTATTGCATTCTAAACGAACACGGGGTTCTATCGTAACTTATTTTATGTTAAGATAAACATCAGAAATTTAAATTAAAACAAAGTATAAAATGTATATGTAGATTTATTTTGTTTGACAAATATAATTATTCTTAAAAAATAAATAAAAATGGTCCTATGCATAGATGATTTATACTTCAACAAAAATGTTACATAAAAAAAATAATAAAATAAATATTTACAAAAAAGTGTATGTAATTTTGTGCACAGCCAAAGATAACGATCAAGGTAGCCTCATAGGACCAGGGGCAGTGGTTATACAGAATTATATTTATTTTACAACATTTTAAGAATTATTTGTAAATTTCATATCCTTAATTATTGTAGCTAAATATCGTATTTTATATTGTATCAACGTGTTAAATAAACGTTTGTACAGTGTATGCTATTGGCAGTTTTCCATTTATTTTAACCTCTTCAACTGGAGTCAGACAAATGAGATTGATTCTGTCCTTGACATGTGATGGCTTACACAAAATAACAAAACATTTCTTAAAGTTTAGAAGGAGTGCTATGCAAAATAACATCGTGCATATCCTTTAAGGCTTCCTCCAGCGCGCTCCTGTACTTAACGCAGCTGGTTTCAGGGTTGGAAACGAAGGCTGAGGTGGCGAAATTGACGTCATCGTTACGTGGATTATAGCATGTCGCATAGCCGTTAGAGACTAGAGGCCCGTAACACATGAAGGCGTCGCATTTACATGCAACCTGAAATTAAATGAGTCATTTAATATTTTATTATAATTTATATGCCTCTGACAGTTACTTATACAAACACCGGCACGTTTACCTGAACACTAGTTACATATAGTTAAAAATAAAAGTTATTGTCGAATAGAGAGCTATAAGAAAAATAAATGTTCTGTCACTCGTCAGCCACCTGTACCTTGTAATATAATACTATATTTAGTATTTTTTTTAAAGAAAGCTAAGAGATGTTTCGTAGTATTTTTGTTTATAAGATTAGATACGTCAATATATACTTATATAGGGTTATTTTTAAAATATAAACCTCGCAGGACTATATTACTAACATCATAAACAACCACTTTTTTCCATGACTTTGTGCAAAACAATAAATTTATCAAAAACAAAGTTTAAAATTTTTGTTGTACTATCGGACACTTTTTAGATCTGTTTGGTAGAATAAGTTCAAATGCAAAGCAAGCGTCCTCCGCGACGACTTCCATCCTCGTGCTGTACAGAGTTATTTATTACCGTTTAGAATGATCTATTTAAATGTATTTATATTTGTATGAAAGTAAAATCTGATGAATTATTTAAAAGTCATGGAACAAAAGCTGTTTATGATGTTAGTAACATTGTCCTGCGATGTTGTTAGTAGGTCCATGTTTTTACGAGATACATTTCTTTGGGCTATCCATAATGCAATTAAATAAATTCCTAAAATAGTAGTGTTTTTTCAAAACTGGTTACTTATATGAAACTTGAAAACAAAAACATTTTGATTTTCTACAAATACAGGCTTGTCAAAGTGTATAATTGCTTTCTTGTGAATTTCGTCAACATCAATTTAAAAAGTTATTTGTGAAAGTTTGATTTAGTCAATGTTAGTTACATTTTTAAAATGTTTCTGCACTTTCTGCTTTATCACAAAATAAGGTCAGGTGGAGTAAGAGGAACATACTTTATTTCGAGACAAATGTTATGAGCTCTAGGAGGAATAAATAATATCTTATACGAATTTCGAAATACTCTAATCTTGCCCTGGTTTATCAGCTTTCCATGTTTTAACTATCATTGCGCTAAAATTAATATTTACGATGTATCTGACAAAAACTTTCAGGTTGTGCTAACGTTCCTCTTCCCCCAAAAAATGGGGTAAGAAGAACTGTCATCGAATTTCATATAAATATAATGTATATTTAAATATATCCGTAGTTAATTCCTAAGCAAAACTATTTGAATCGAATTTTATCTTAAAACCATTGGAATAACGTATAGTTATCAAAAAAACAAGTGAAAAACTAATTTTGGGGCAACAGGAACATACAGGCTAAGGCCAGGGGTGACAAATTAAAAAAAGCGAGGCTGTTATTTTTTTTTGTGACGGGACGAACAAGTCGTGCGCGTGATGGTAAGCTACAGGCCTGTACATAACAGGACATATTTTTTTTGCACAAAGTATAATAAAAGCACATTTTTAACCACTCGTTTACAAATCAACACATTAAGTAACTTAAGTACTTTTTAAATATAGTTATAATAGAAAACAATGTTTGGTCCAAAAATAAATTTATATTTCTAACAAAATTTATTCTTCTCTAGTCACCAAAACCACTCTACTTTGAAAACCGTTCAACTAAATCAATTGAAATTTGGTATAGAAGTAGTGTGACCACATAGCTAACGTGCAATGAGCCATTTTTGTATTTGTTCTTAGGTTACGCCATTATTTTAGAGCTCATGTAATTATTTTTTTTCGACTAAAATATGAAATTTTCTAAAAATTCCTGACTGAAAAAAAAGTACTGCCAGAATTGCTGCTGGCCTTGTAAATTACCTTAAGATGTGTGATTGTTTACACATAAATTGTAGTGTTGTAATTATTGTAATATCGTCAGAAATTAATATCATGTGGACGAAGTCACTAAAATTTACGATTACTATCAAAAAACGTTATTATGACAATTCATCAAAAAGTTTGTCACCCCTGACACGGGGGAAGAGGAAAGTATGTTTCTCTTACCCCGTAAGTACGTACTAGACCCTCTTACCCCAACAATGTTTTTGGCGGTTAGGATTTTGATTCCAATGAAATTCGTATTATTTGTTGTTTTTAGTCTGAAATAACTAAAACTTTACCATTTTCTCTACGTGTTTTTCTACAAAAATAATCTCCAGCACTTTTTTTCACCAAGATCCAGTCAAGAAAAAATCACGCGCCGATCTCGTGTTTTCAGACTACACAACTGTAAATTTCGTTTTCTCTCTCTGTCAAATTTGGAACATCGTAGCGACATCTCTTTACAACCGTTAAAACTAATTTGTTTGTCTGTTTTATAGACTGAGGGACTATATTTGTCCCTCTTTCCCCGGTGTTCCTCTTACCCCACCTGACCTTACCTTTGTTTAATTTCAATTTTTTTAAATAACGATTAAGTAGGGCTGTACTAAGTCAATGTTAAAAGACGTTAATTCAATAACTACTTTAATATTTATTTATATATAAATGTTACCATTTTATAATCTCACTTCATTTGTGGTCCGTGAAATGTGCCGGTGTGTAAATTTGGCAGTCGCGAGGTGGACGACGGGACGTTGTGGCTTGCTTCGTCATTTAGGGGATGTAGCTTCTCCCAAGTGCTGGGAGGTTCGATCCCGGATCTCTCCCACTAGAGCACCGAGCACCGAGCACCCAAGGCCATAGTGCGGTTTTAGCCCGTAGAAGTCCGGCCTAATGTATGTATATTAATATACCTAATAAACTCTCCGCTGTCCCCGCGGCGGAACGGTATCCTAGGAGGATTTCTCCACGAAAAAAAAGTATATCTGTGAAGGGTTTACTTACTTGACTAGTAGAAATTCTCATATGAGCACTCTTCTTAAACCCATCATCAGTGTACAGCTTAGGAATTTCGATACCATTCTCGATTGCAGTCAATTTCAAGCCGAGCAAATGTCTATCGACACCGAACCCTTGCAGAGCCTGCAATAAGCATAATCATAATTTCCATGTTACTGAAAAGTTGAGTATAGCCGTGGTAGCCTAAAGGTTTGACCTACCGCGTCTCAAGCAAGGCCGTAGGTTTTAATCCGGGTTGGCATCGCTGAGTTTCTCGAAATTTATGTGCAAAAAACCATGAGCTTTTCGAAGAAGAAAATATCGTGATGAAATCTTAACGTCGAAGAAGGTTCAGTGTACGCGATTAAAAATACGAAAACTTTCAGACGTCGAAACAGCTAGATTGATTTACTTCAGCCACTTTCATAGTTTAATGACATGCGGCATTTTGCTTTGGGGTAATGCCGCCGATATTAATAGAATGTTTGTCCTGCAGAAACGTGCGCTTAGGGCAATTTACAATCTGGGCCCCAGAGTGTCTTTGAGAGATAAGTTTAAAGAGATTCACATTCTTACACTAGGGTCACAGTACATTTACGAAAATGTTATTTATGTTGAGAAGAATAATAATTTATTTATTAAAAATAGTGACAGACATAACATTAACACGAAATATAAACTAGTTATTCTCGACAGTCATCTTCACAAATTCATTTAGGGGCAATGTATAAGCTTCTATAATAAGATTCCGGTTGAAATTCAAAATTTGCCATTTACGAGGTTTAAAACTATAATGAAACAAAAACTTCATTCTAAAGGATTATACAGCTTCAGCGTACTTGGATGACAAGAATCCGTGGTAATGACCTGTTTAGTTCTTGCAGGTAGTCTCAATCTAAGATGTTTGAAATAAATGTTGTAAATGTCAAATGTATATTTAAAAGAGCAACCCCTAGAGTTTCAAATGAGCAGAAGAGTTTAATTAATATGATGATTTCAAGTGTAATTTGCTTACTTATGAAATAAAGATGAGGGCCCTAAGTTAAAGAACGTAATGAATTGTTTAACAACAATAGTTAACCCATATATCGCATTTTACAAGTAACATAGTGTCTCAAAAATTGCGTTATATTATATTTTATCTCAAAATTGCGTTATATTAATAATTTATCTCCAAAATTGCACTATATTTGTATGTCATTTGTATAACATTTAATTTCAAAGTGACAGGACAACACTGTTGTTTTGTAATTCAATAGATAATATTAATTTAACGTAAAGCAATTTTAAGATAATATTATGTTAGTTGTCATGCGCGATGTCCACGCGTTAGAAATTATTAGGAAATATTAACATAAAACATAGGGATTTTTTTGTTATTTTTCACTAATGTGTTCTATTACTGAATCTTATGCACAGCAAAAAAATAGTGATTTTTTTATCAATTGTATTTACACAACAAATTGTTTGCAAATAATAAATTACCTGCACAGTGTAATCTTTATGAGCATTAATAGCTTTTTTCAAAGCAGCCATTTTCTCCTTGGGCGGCACATTGGAGTCGAGCATAGCTTTAGCGAATTCGATCGACTCGATAGAGCAGGAGCGAATTGTCTCAGTGCGGCCTCCCGCATACATCCGCGTTGCTGCCGATTCGTAGTGAGCTCCTGGTGTTTTGTATAGTCTGTTAGATTTTAAAGAAAAAAGGCATGTTACTCGAGTTTACCACATAAGAAAACATAACTGCACGGATATTAACGTAGTACTGAACTAAATACAAATTATAGAACACAAATTCACTCGAATTTTGACGTCTACCTTACTTCTACTTATTATATGGATGGCATGCTCGTCATCCTGATGAAAAGATTTGCCAATCGGCGTAAAGTAGGTACTCGCCGATTGTTGCCCAGTGTACGCGTGCGCCAGACGTAAAGGAAAGGAATGGTACGTCGTGCGAGTAGTTACTCGCGTTCCCATTATGTCGTAACGTTTCATTCATCGTTAGACGATTGTCGCGTCTAACCTGTTCCCATAACACGACTATCTGTCGAGACTGTATCGTGGACGTTTATTTTATCGTAGAACGACTGTCTAGCTGTTCCCACTAGCTCGTGAATTTATCGGTACACGGCAGCCGCTTTTTCGTTTGCACGACAGAATCTTTATAAGTTCCGATTATCTGTCGTCACATTTTTATTGTGACGTTTCATTTATCGTCAGACGACTGTCGTTCTAGCCCTTCCAATTGTCACGACAGTCTGTCGTCGTAACGACAAACAAGTGGTGAACGACGATTAATCGTGTTGTACTATAAGTGAACAACTTCATTTAAATATACCAGTCACGGCATTTTAAACTGCACGACTATCTGTCGTCACGACATAATGGGAACGCGCCATTACGCTATAAACACTGGAACAGCTTAATCGTTCAATGAACAAGTTTTGCCCACCACCGATTTAATTATGTTGACGTACTTAAAAACCTAAAAAGATATATTAACAAAGGTGCGGGCTCAGACGGTATTCACTTTTTAAATTTATGTGTACCTAACCTGTTGGTGTTTCAAATAAATATGTAGCTATGATGGCCGTATTAGACGTAATGAACTGTTTCACAAAGAGCTCTACTGCTACTAAATATGGGTCATAGTCGCTAGTAACTTGTATGCCATTGGAAATAACATTCGTTTTTTCCGATCTAAATCGCATATCGCACTAATATTACAATAGTGTTGTAACTCAAAATATGTGAATTCCAGGATTAAATCATTGCTGAAACCAAAATTTGATTCTCTACATGTCAATAAAACCGTTGATAGAATATTGTAAGAAACAATTAAAAGATATCTACGTAACTCAAAATGAGACAAACTTTATGTGAGCTAGTCCTGGCCAAAACATACAATCCTCAAAAATATGAAATTATTTCTTCCCTTTTATTTTTAAAGAACTGGGCGATTAGAAAATTGTTTAGATGTCAGTAATAAACTTTACTCTATACATAAATTTTAATGATCTTTCACGGGAAGTGAGTATTCGTTTTTCATCGATTGTGAAAAAATACACTATTGTATTAACAGTGCGATATATTTGTTTATACAAATTACCAACCTCTATCATAGTAAGCCGTGACCATGAGCGTCTGTAAAGAGATCGAAAATTAAAAAAAAAAAAAAAAAAACTCAAATGTAAGCGACTTAGATCTGAAAAAATAGTTTCACCCCATGTGTAGCATACGTGAAAGCCTAATATATTTATACACCCAATATATTTTATTGCATGGCAAATAAATATTTTTTTATTTCGAAAATACCATAGTTCTGCAAACCTCCCAATTCTGCCTCCTACCTCTTAATTCTGTCGAGCAGAATTCGAAAAAATTTCGTAGATATATTATCATTTACAATCTCATCTCGGATGTAATTTAGTCGAGGGTAAAAGCTAGTACCAATTATACCACACACCTGTAGAAAGCATACTGCATAGCCATCTGCAAATAACTGTCCGGACTCAGTTTCTGCGACTTAATGAAATTTTTGCCATACTTATCGTACGTAAAGCAATTCAGTTCTAAATCACTGGCGAGTCTGAAATCAAAATGTGAAAATAATAATTAAATATTATACCACATTAGATAAGTTGCTTTGATCCCTAAGTAACTAAGCACTTGTGTCATGAAAATCGGAAACAACAGCCGATATTATCACAAACACGCAGACCCGAGACCTCTGAGGTGGCATTATAATATAACATTACATAAACTAATATTATAAATAAAATATTATAAAATTAAATGAGTACTCGATGTTGACACGCGACATTTTATTACAATATTATACTACACGTCGACACGTAACATCTTAATAAAATATAATAGATCTCTTTGAACCTGCCATTTTATAAAAATGTTACGTGTACATAAATTTTAATTATCGTCAGGTAATCTTAAGACAATAATTCTGGAAATACTAATTTTATGTGAAATGTACAAAAAACAAAAAGTCATAAATATGGTGTTAATGTTCCATATGCTTTGGTAATATGGGTATGATTGTATTTACATGTAGTTTGGAATAACTCATTATTCTTTTTGTTACTTCAAAGTGGTGTTTATAGGAAAAGTTATTCGTAGTAACGCGAGGAACCACCCCGCCTCGGATGTAACCCTATTAACACCCTGTTATATACTACGTAAAAAAATAAGAATATTTTTTTCAATTCAGTGTTCCAAATAAATCATTTTCGATAGATTTTTGTCTAAAATTAAAACAATCTTTTTACAAATCATCATCAATCAGGTCACATGAATAAAGTGAGTATATTTTTTTCAACTGTATGTATTGAGGGGCTTTGAATTGAACATGTCAGCCCCATTAGAAAAACTATACATCAAGAAAACAATAGAATCCGAACAGATAAATAACTAAATGTGTATATGAAATCTTCGCGTCACTATTTGTTGGCTCAGACAAAACAAATTGAAACCATTTAACAATAAATATGCCAAAACCAACCTGTGCAAATAACCGTACCCTGGTAGGTTCCGTCCGCACGCACTCAGTGTCATGGATAAATAAAGAACCTCTCTGTGTTCGAAAATATAGTCAGTCATAATGGCTGTAATAATGCTATAGCATATACATAGTCCACATTTGATATTAAGATGCTTTAAATAATAGATAGACCTCTGCTTGCCTGGGTGCAAACATAGAAATGAGATGTTGAAATTATGCCCAATTAATTACAAGACCAAACACACAAGTGTTGGAACGTGTTTAATTCACGATTTTATATGAAAATGTTTTCATTACACAACATTTAGAGTCGGTTAAAAAAGGTTATACACACTTGTCTAAGTTGTTCTGAGCAGTTTTAATCATTCCATCCACTTCAGAGTTCACCACAAACTCCAGCTTGACTGGCGGTTTCGGTTTCGCCGATGGACCGTTTGGTTTTGTCTTATTTTGGTCCCTGTCGAACAAAAACACTAAAATACATTTGTATGTGTAAAGTACAAAACCGAAACGATTTGCTCTATTTCAAATATTGTATGCCGTTGTCTGGCATTTTAGACTCGTATTAATTGTCATTAATAATAGCAGGGGAGGTACAGCCCCCGATTGACCCGACCGAGGATCGAACCCGGGATCTCGGAGACGGCGACACAATGACATCCACGATGAGCAAGCCTCTTGATCACGGAGGTCGTCGTCGTCGTATTGTAAAGTACATAATGAGGTTATCAGCGCAAAAGTGGTGTAACCCACATCTAATTTTTTTCTACAATATTACTTAAATTTAATTAAATGTCGGTTTCATCACTTATGCGGTGATAGCCTCTTAGTTATACAGATGCACTGTGATGAAAAAAGAACTTAAAAATTACAGCCTCATTTCAGCGTCATACATTTTCTCTTAGCCCAAGATTATATTTAATAATTTTTACATTCTTTTTGTTTTATTACGATTAAGTCAGTAAAATAAGCATAAAGGTGAAAGCAAAAATCATACAAGTAATTGATTATGTAGTCGACCATGACTGCAATGGGCTGACCCTCGGCAGGCGAATGTTCATACGTCAAACCGGTCAGCCCATCAGCGCCTACAATGAACTGCAAATAATAACATATTAAGTGTTTTACATTTATTTAAGCAATAATAATATATAAATAATTGTGGTAATTAAGAAATGAAAATATAGCACATAGAAAAAATTACATTAAATAATTATTTACTATCATATATCGCACTTCAATAATAAAAAGTAGAAAGAAATTCGAAAAGTATAATATTTTTGGGAATTTGACAAATCAGATGAAAAAATGTATGGATGGGATCAGCCGTATGGCCATTTGTTCCTTCATTTTTCTCCATCCTCTAAGATTTGGCTAAAGCCAAAAACAAATGCTGAAGAATGAAAAACGTAAGTAACTTTATTTTGGAAGCTGATCTAGTTTTTTATTGGCACTGGAACATTACACATATTTTATTTTTACTACATTTTAATAATAACAACACACACACTCAACATAGCCCCGCACTAGGGAAACCCTGTGTCGCGGGTGCCATGGACACACATATAGACAACCACAAATCACACCCAAACTCACGAGAGAAACAAATGTAGGTCATACAAATATTTCTCCCGGCCCGGGAATCGAACCTGGGACCTCTGCGTGGCAGTCCGGCATGGTAACCGTTCGGCCACAGAGGCAGTTAAATTTAGCCTAGTCTACTGTGATCTACTGCTACTAATTTGCTATAATCACTATAAAGTACTAGTAAAATAATAATATATAATAATAATTTATTTCCTTAAAAAGGTTACAACACTTAATCTGAACTTTAAAAAGGCAAAATAAGCTGTACATAAAATAAAAAAGTAATAAATAAAAAATATATTAATAACCGGAATAATTGGGAACTCGCGCAGTGGTTGCGCTAGGCAGACCTTGCGCCTCCTGAAAATTGGGATCACATAAGTCGAGGTAACTGATAACCCCAGGTATAAGTACCTCAGCTCAACTTTAAGAATGCTTGAAGTAAAATCTAATAGTTTTTACGCACCTGAACAGTCTTATCGAACCATCGATTGCCACCATTACATCCCGGGCCAGAGCCGTGTATAGTTTGAGCTGCAGCTAAGTTCTGCCGGGCATCCTTATTCGGACATTCCCACAAGCCAACTGCGGCATCTAAACAAAGCACTACTATGCTTCTCTCTACATCTTCTAGAGATTGCTTGTTTACATTATCTGGAAATAACATGATAACAATGTACTGCGTGATTATTATTGACATATTTATGAATTTTATTTGATTGTAATTAACTTAACATTTTACATTTTCGGTTAATGTATTTTTATGTGTCACTCTATAAAACCCAGTTACTCAGCAGTGGGTGAGTGTGAACAATTTTCTTTTACACATTTGGACAAAAGTTAGCCGCGATATAATCTGACCACCAGACTGCTCCAGACCAGATTCAGAAGCCTCTTTCTCAATTTCAGTTACTAATTACTTGGCATCAGAGTCATCTGACCGAAGCATTTCCTGAACAGACGTAATGAATTGTTCCAAAGTTTAATGTTATAATAGGTTAATACAGATGCTTATCAGAACTTATATTACCTTTTATAAGCTGTTGATACGCCTTTGCCCAGTTGTCGCGGTTATCTGAAGTCAGGATACCAACGCCTTTAACGTTTGGTGTTGACGACTGTTCGATTACTTTCTTCAACTGTTGTATTATTTGGTCCTCGCTTAGTAGAACGCCGTCTTCGCCCCACATGTCTACGTGAAAAATCTGGAATACGTATTTTTTCAAAACTATGTGAACCAACTCACTGAATTACAAATTGTGAGAATAGTCCTGCAACCACGATCGTGGCTTCGTTGTCGATCACTTATAATATTGTAACTAGGACTCTCGCATGATGACATTTGTCGATTGCGACTATAAGGTGAATCATATGCAAGAAGTCACTAGCATAAGATTCACCTGTCGCACCCAAGAGTTGCCAATCGGTGCTACTATCTTGATTGATGTTGTGATCGATTTTTTTTAATATACCAAGTGACGAGGCGAACAAGTCGTGTGCTTGGTATTAAGCAACACACCTGTCCACAACAATCACAGTGCCACTGAGCCTCGGCGCAAACGTGTGTCTTGTATTGTATACAAGCAATCGGCAACTGGAAGCGAATATTTTATTTTAATACAATTAATATGAAGTTGCCGGTTGCGGCAACTGGACACAATCGCCGGTTGCGGCAGTCGAAAATATTCGGTAGCCAGTTTGCACGGCGCCTGAGATTTTTAAATCGAAAAGATCTGAGGAGCACTGCCACCGCGCCCGTCACCTAGACGTAAGCGGTGGCAGTACTTTCCTGAACCGCTTATTCCCAATCTCAGTTGTTGTCAGTGTGGTGATTTCCATTGGCGAGAAACGGGAAAAAAACCCATATGTTACCAGTTTGTCATCACAAACGGGATAAAAAAATCTCAGCTGTTGCCCGTGATGATTTCCACTGGTGACAAATGGAAAAAAAAAACATGTACCAGGTGGTGACAAGTGGGATAAAAACATCTATTGTTGCCACTGGCGACAAATGGAATTTAAAATATCCCAGTAATTACCAGAGGTATAGTTGGCAAAATTTTAGAATACAAAAGGACAAAAGAGTAAGCCGTCACGATGACGCATGTGCCATCTGTATAGTACAAACAACCAGTAAACAGTTTTTTACTCATTGACGCTTAATTCTATCCTTGGTAATATTTATTCGGAACTAACTTTGTAGAATTAGTAAGCAACTACTGGGATATTTTAAATTCCATGTGCCAGTGGTAACAAAGGACCTTTTTATCGCATTTGTCACCACCAGGTAACATATGGGTTTTTTCCCCATTTGTCGCTAGTGGTAAAGACTGGGAATTAGCGACCTGGACAAACTGTTTCACAAGGAGCTCTACTGCAACTAAAATATATAAACCAATGCTAATCTAGTGCCCCCTGTCGCCACGACAACTGTCATCGTGTAAGAAACACCCAAAACTTAAATGTTTGTACGGACGCGTCATGTTAAACAATGCGGAAGTGAATATTCTACGAATTTTTAAATAATATGGCGCTTTTCCATACTATGCTTGTATTTACATTACAGACAAAATAAACAACTTCCATACTTGTCCGGAAGGACATGTAATAAAGTTACGTGGGCTGTGAGGACGGTAATTATTTAATGTTACTACAGTCAGACAATAAATGAATTCTATTCTGTTCCGTCGTAATATGTGTATTATAGTAGTAATCAACACCGATTTTATTTACAAAATTTCACCAATTTATATTTTTCACTTCTTACGAATTATTACAATTTATGTTACCAAATATTATAATTACAATTATGTAGAGTAGAGATAACTTTGTGGTTATTCACTAAATGATTATCACTAATTTACAAGTTTCTTACCACGGTATGATTACAATAATATTATAAGAATTGTACACGGTAAAAACAGATTGCTTAGAAAAAGACAAATTTCTTTTTATGAAGACAAATTCATTAAATCCAACAAATCGATCCTCTCCCTATAGACTAGAGAATAATTACTTGATAATAGTAAAAAAACATCTCAAAAATGTATTTTATAAGACAGAAATATTTAATACAAGGGCAAATTAATTTACTTCAAGTCACAAAACTACTATAGATTCAACAAAATATTGATATTAGAATATTATTATAGTTATTAGAAATGTTCGATTTTGACTTGAAAAAAAAAAAAAAATGACTGTTTATGATTTTTATGATTACAAGCACAAGTAAAAGCAATCGTTACTGCGTGCGCCTTCAGCGACATGTCACGACACCATGGACTATGAAAACGCAACGAAATGTTGCTTTAAAAATATACTTTACAATTAAGAATATTAATCTGAATAGAAAACTACTTTTTTTTTGTTTAAGAATATATTTTCTTATTATACACCCAAGAAATTTTGAATTCATTTAAGCTTAATTAAATTTGATGTAAGAGGTAAAAATTTCTTTATGTAAGGGGTAAAAATTTCTTGATGTAAGTAATGTCCAATTAATTGATTAGAAATGAAATAAAATCTTGAAGTGAAGGTATTTGTTAAATTTTTATTGAATTGATATTCAATTTTTTTTTTGTGAAATTACTCCACTAGTTTGTTATAATTATTAATACAAAGATCGAACACTCAGAAAAAATTCCTTCGACCGGATCGAAGGAATTTTTTCTGAGTGTTCAATCTTTGAAGGTATTTGTCTAAAAGTTAGAATAAAGTTAAAAGTAAATTTGCATTAGAAAAAGATAAGCAGTATTTTTGTAATGACAATATTTTATTATTATTAGTTAGTTCAAATTCAAACATCTTTATTTCGACCAACTGGGATCATAGTCAATGTTAGTTACATTTTCTTATCCTAAAGTTAATAATACACCCCTAAAGCTAATTTAACATTTTACATAATATGCGGTTGACAGAGCTTTAGTGAGGCTTGACTTTCAGTATATGGATCATATGACAATGATTCAGATACTGACAATCAAACCTCTCCGCAAATGCTCTCAGGATACCACTGGTGCTGGCCCGCACCCTACGCACCAGGGATGTACAGCGTTTCCTCACAGTTGTGAAAAAAACAATCAACTCTGGCATCCGCGAACATCCCCGAGGCGCTGCAGAAGCGAGGCAGCCCCAATAGCACCCTGAAAGCATTGTTGTACTGCACACGTAGGGCGTTGTACTGTTTTTGCGTGTAAGAGGCCCACAAACTGCTCGTGTATAGAGTCGTGCAAAAGGCTCTAAATAAAGTTACTTTTACCTCAGCCGAACAACGAGCAAATCGGCGAGCCACCATGTTCGCTCTAACAGACAACGCCCTCCGTTCTCGCTCAATGTCTGCATCATCCCTCAGGTCAGAGGTCAAAATGTGCCCCAGATATCTAAATGTATCCACCCTTTTTAACGGCGTACCAAATAGCCGGATAGGTGGTACTGGTGGCAGACTCTTGCCCCCGACATGAAAGACCATGCATTCACTTTTCTTAACGTTATATAGCAAGCCATGACTAAGCGCAAACTTTTCACAGATTCCCAATAACTTGACGAGACCACAAGGTGAGGCACTCAACAGCACCATGTCGTCTGCATAACTAATGTTATTGAGACATACGTCATCAATATGGCAGCCGACATGAGTGCTGCTGAGCTCCACTATCAGCGCATTGACGTATAGGTTGAAGAGCTTCGGTGAGGTAACTCCCCCCTGCCTCACCCCAAACTCCATCCTGTACGGCTCCGAGTACGTATTCGACCATCTTACCACGTTCACCTGATTACAATACCAAAACTTGATAATATTATACAGCTCTGCTGGCAAATCAGTATTCTTCAGCTTATCCCATAGAAGGTCGTATCTCACCAGGTCGAACGCTTTAGATAGGTCGAGAAAACAGGCATATATGGGCGTTTTACGGTTCGTATAGTATTTTACAGTCTGTTTCAGACATAATATAGCTGTTTCTGTCGATAATCCTGACCTGAACCCAAACTGATTCTGATGAATGTTTAGGTGCTTGTCCAGATGCGTGCTCAACATACTATCTAATACCTTAGCAATCACAGTCGCCAGCGATATCGGCCTGTAGTTGTTTTTGTCACTCACATCACCGCTTTTGTTTTTAATGACTGGAACTACAACAGTTCTCATTAAAGCATCTGGCAGATATGAGTGGCTCAAACATACATTATATAATAAGGCTAGAACTCGTGGGAGATGAGGCCCAGCATGTTTTAAGTGTTCCACACTGAGGCCGTCGTAGCCAGGAGATTTCCCTCTCGACATAGATTTCACAACTTTGTCCACATCTTTGGCAGTAAATCTAGCAACGAACTCCTGGCTACTCGGCACCTCATCAACCATCCTCCGAGACGGACCCAAGGGCGACTCAACACTAAACTGTTTTCTAAATATAGTGGCTATATCCTTATGATCACTTACACCGTCAACACTTTCCGGTTGATAAGGCTTATCATTTAGCTTTTTTGTAGATTTCCAAAAGCTACGAAAGTAATGGTTTTCATGAAGAGATGCCAAGATGTCCATTCTAATCTGTTGACTGTGATTTTGACACCATTTTAGTCTAGATTTGAAAATGGTTCGACTTCTCTGCATCTCATCATAGAAACGGCCGCATCTAGGTTTCCCATACAAAACCCATGTATTAAATTTATCCCTAGCCTCCCTATGAGCCGCACTTATATGTTTATTCCAGCCAGCAACTGGTTTTTTCTTCGTGGAACGTTTTACATAAAAACAGGTTGTGGCTGCCACACTTAATACACTAATTATATCATTATATAAATTGTCAATAATCTGTTTATGGCCCTGTTCATAACAGCAACCATCACAACATGTGCGGAGGTCATCAGGAAAGTCAATTTTACTAAGTTCGCCATGACAGATTTTAGTATACAATGTTATTTGTTCAGATTTTCTTTCCCCCCACACAACTTTATTAGTCATCCGCTTATTACTACATAATAGCCCCGAACTGATTACACCTAAATTGCACACTACACATAAAGGGAAGTGGTCTGACCACGTGACGTCATATTTAACATGGACGTTCACAACAGATCTTGCCGCAGATTCAGTTGTCAAAACATGGTCTAACCAACGCTTAGCCCCATTGGCCTCACTAATGAAACTAAACGTGTCCGATTCAAGACCTAATATTTCAATGTCCGGGCACGTCCACATTTGTTCGCGGCAGAAACTCATCATTTCATTAAAGAAAAGTTCATTCGGGTGCGCGTTAAGGTCCCCCAGTATGTATGCTGTCCAAATGTCCTCATTACTAATAGTAGCACTTACCAAACTCAAACAATCCGTAAATTCCACTAAGTTCACATTTTTATCCGTAGGCATGTACACACTGAACACAAGGATAGACTTCTGTGGCAATGTTATCTTTATTGCACACACTCGCGGGTTATCGCACTGAACAATAGAAACATTAGGAAAAACACTTTTATTCCACAGTAAACAAACCCCACCCCAAGGGCGGCCAACCAACATTCCGGCGGCCGGGTCCATCGCCGACGTTCCCGTGCTTCCGAACCTGCCGTCAATTTCACATAAATACTGAAGCTCATCTTGCCTCAGCCAAGTCTCTTGAAGCGCGATTATATCCGCTGATTGACATAATTTCCTGATGGAATCTATCGATCTCTTAACGTTCTTACAGTTAAAACTAACCATGTTAATTGTACGTATCGTAACGTCATCACTCATTAAACCGATTTGATTATCAACTTTATCCATTTATGAGTGTAAGTGGGCCGCCGACATTAGTCTGTCTTTTCGTAATATTTGGCCTATAGTGCATAAACCTCCGATAAACAATATTTTGTGGCCATAATTCTGGGTCCAAGAACAAAGAAACTTTGGACTCAGAAACGTAGAACTTGTAAGCGTTATGCATTTTCTTCTTTGTATTCAGTTTTTCTAATACAATGTTTTCTTTTGTTTTTGCTCTAATGTACTCAGTTATATCTGTTTCTAGGCAATTTTTATTTACGTTAGATATAAAAATAGGTATTTTTCTCTCAGCCGCCATAAACTTAGCGTAGCATTCCGTATCACATGCTGTCCCCCTCTTACCAGTATAGCGATAATTGTGCTTGTTTCGCTTGTATGTTACTGTCGTCCAACCGTCTGTGTTATTCTCACGAAATTGAGGGTCGTCGCAAGATGTCACCGCCGCGCTCGGGGAGTTTAAACTTGAACTCTCGCCGGTCGTTGGCTTACGACATTGCGTTAGGTCCAGCTGAGACGCGTGATTCATAATAGATGATACTGAATCTTGCGTTATCTCTTCTTTATTGTTATCTAGTTCGACATATTTTAAGGTAGTACTATTTAAATCCTTTATAGGTCGATTTTTCGTATGTTTAGAAATATTTCCCGATCTTCTAGGCGATATTTGCGTATCAGTTGACGGCGAAGGCGATTTTTTTCCCTCTGACTCGTTATTATAATGCGAGAGGCCGATAGGTCCACTGTCATGATGTAACCAAGCTCCTCGCTTGGTATTATTACTTTTAATAAATAATTTTCCAGAATTAGCAGATATTTTGAGAAATTGCTCTTTCTTATTAGTAGAATTCCTTTTTTCTGTGTACGAGTATAAGATTAGAGATGAAACGGATACCCGATAACTATCCGGTATCCGACCTATTTTTCCTATCCGGCCGGATATCGGACAACGTGGACCTCTCTGATGACCTGGACGTAGAGAGGGAGCGTAGGGCATTGTCGGTGAGAAGCAACATGTTGGCGCGCAGGTTTGCACGATGTAATAAGGAAGTAAAAACAACCTTATTCAAGGCATACTGCCAAACTTTTTACACGTGCAGCCTGTGGGCCAAATGTACTCGCAAATCGCTTGATGCCCTACGCGTACAGTACAATAATGGTTTTAGGATGCTGCTGGGGTTGCCCCGGTTCTGCAGCGCATCTGGTATGTTTGCCGAGGCGCGTGTGGATAGTTTTCAGACTATCCTACGCAAACGAGTAGCCTCGGTGATGAAGCGCGTGCGGGATAGCGGCAGCGGTCTCCTAAATACCATTTTGGAGCGGGTAGATTGCCCCATAGTAAGTCACTGGAATGCGTGTCATATGCACTCTAATGTTGCCATTTATAATGTTAAATATAATTTGTTATAACATAGTTTTAAGATAATTGTTACTAACCAGCTATGAACTTTGTTTGAAATAAATTATTATTATTATTGTAGATGTTTTTCCCTCTCAGCCTGTTGACTGGTTTTAACAGCATCTACGGACCGAAATCAAGTAAATGCTGTAGGGCTTGTATGTATATGGTGAGAGTGTACTAAGGACCCACTTCGTTCTCTTCCATCTGCATGAACTTTCTCACAATCCTACAAGTATTCAAAATTACGGCTTTTTGTAATGTTATGTAGAGGTTTTCTTTAAAACCTAATAATTTAAGACTATGAAGAAGTTGGTTTGGAATAACGCCTGTTGTAGAGAGAAGAATTGGGATAACATATACTTTTTCCTGTCGCCAAATTCTAACTAATTCATCTTTGAGCTCTGCGTATTTACTAATTTTTTCAATTATGGTCTTCTGTATGTTATGTGTGTTAGGAACTGCAATATCTATTAAGTATGTAATTTTATTTAATTTGTCTTGTAAAGTTATGTCAGGTCTATTAAAATGAATAGTTCTGTCAGTGAGTATGGCGCGGTCGTAGTAAAGTTTGTGTGTTGTATTTTCTAGGATAGTTTGTGGTGTATACTTGTAGTATGGAGTGATTGATTCATGTATGAATCAATTATTATTATTATTATTATTATTATTATTATTATATCGGATATTAAAACAATATCCGGTCGAATACCGGATGTTTCAAACTGAGAAAAATTCATAATTAGTACGCCAAATAAATAGATTTATTGATTAAAGATAATAGTAATATGATAAACAGCAACTACAGGGTCGTTGACAATCTGTTTATTACTTGAAACTGAAAGAACTATGAAGTTAGATAACGTTATCTGTAAATTTAGTACTCAAATTTCAATAAAGGTAAATTATGGTGGATGAAGACCAGTTGTTCTGCATTAAGTGGTAAAAGTTGGTTCTAATTATTTTCATAAACGAGATCAGCTTCAGATGATAGTTTTTCAATCTCAAACTCTTGCAAACTTTGTTAAATTTTAAGTACTACTTGTTATTGCCAGACGATCAAATGAAAGGATCGCGATCACGATCGATTTGACCTGTCTTCAAATACAATTTGTGTACCTACAATAATGAAACATGTAAGTAGATTAAAATTTTTTTTGGAAAATTTGGTATCAAGAATTAGAATTTGTTAGATCACAAACAAATTAATGAAATCAAATTGAAACAAGATAATGACCACAATAAATCAAATCGTCAATGTGAAAGTAAAATCATTCATTAATCAATCAATCATGGCGATACGCGCTGTAAACCGATCGCGACATGTTTACGGTAGTAGGTCCGATATCCGGCGGCCGGATATCCGGCTACCCGACCTAGGTGCCCGCAGAATATCCGGCTATCTGCCTAGGTACCCACCGGATATCCGATATCCAGTCAGATCACTATCCATTTCATCTCTATATAAGATAATTTAATTGTTCTGGCAATTAAAGATTGACAATTGATTAATTGTCAATTGCGAAACAGCAATTAACGATTGATCAATTGTTAGTTGCGAGATATCTTAAAGATATTGCAAATATCTACAATTAACAATGAATCAATTTTCAATCTTTTCAATGTTTTTGATTAACAATTAACAATTAAAACTGACAATTATGATAAATTTATAAGGCATATGGGGGCGTTAGGGCGGAGTTAGGGTGTTGGTTGTGGGGGCCTGCTGGGGGCAGGTTAGGTGGCCGGTTGGGGGCCGGCTGGGGGCAGGTTAGGGGGCCCGGTTGGGGGGCCCAGTTGGGGGCCCCGGTTGGGAGCCCCGCTTGGGGGCCCCGGTTGGGGTTAGGGCCCCCGGTTGGGTCCCCGCTTGGGGGCCCCAACCGGGCGCCTAACCTTTTTTTTTTTTTAACCTAACCTAACCGGGGCCCTAACCTTGCGACGCGTCGCAATTGATTTAATTGCTATTGATTTCTATTGAATTGATTTTTTAATCTGATTGAATTATTGATTGAAATTTAATTGATTAACGCCCAACACTGTAAGTAATTATAAGGAAACTCTAATTCATTTATCATTTATCAATATAAGTCATTTAATATAAAAGGTAAAAATATTATTATTAGTATCTAAATAAAAATAGCAAAGCTATCTTTTAGAAACTTACATGATTATTATGTATAACAGTTATGTGTTTACTGTTTTCGTTGTATGATAACTTATCCCTCTTCTCGCCAGGTATTCTGCAAGTCCCAAACACCTTTTTGTATTGACCCATGTCCAGTGGACTCTTGCCCATCATTTCTGTTGGTATTTTATTGCTGAAAATAAAGTATTACAATATAATGTAGTTTCACCAACAATATTTCTGTAAATAAAAACATTTACCTATATAATGGGGGTTCTCTTTTTACATGTTTGTGTCTAAGTTGTTTCCAAGTAAAGCCATGTTATTCAAAAACAAGGCTTTAATATAAAAACTAAAGACATACATTATTATGAAACATCTTTGTAAACAGCATTATTATTACTGCGTACAATGATATAATTCATTATTTCCTAAGCTTTTTACAGGGTCAGGAGCATGTCAAGCTAAAAACTTACGATATAAATTTAACTCTATGAAGTTCGCAATAAGAATAATAAAGTCTAAAGTGTCAAGCTTTGATGTGCTATTGACTAATACAAACTGCTACAAAGTGTAAAAATAGCGTTTAGCTAAGTATGAGCAACAAGACTATTATTTAAACATAATAATCGCTTTGCCATCTTTGCTTATTTGATAAGAAGCCAAGAATTACTATCTTTACCCTTAAAGTATTTAAACTACCAAGAAAAAGTGTTGACTGATAACATTATATTTTCATTGCTTTCTTACCCATCAATCAAAGCCTTATATTCCAAAGCAGCTAGCAAGGTCTTGGCAGCATATTTCAGCTGGTCTTCTTGAGTAGGAAACTTCCTAAAGGGGAACACTAGACCAGGACTAGAGAAGACCACCACTGGGTCCCTATACTCTAGGTAGGCAGTGTTTAGCCACCACTCCTCAAGCCAGTTTATGTGCTTCTCGGCTCTGCTTTGTAGTAAACCCTGAAAGTTTATACATGGTATATACAGATCGAATATCAATAATAGTAACTTACTATAAATATTCGATAAAACAAATGGTAAATGGTTCACATACATTTTTTCAAGACTACCCCTAAATATGGGAGACTTGGGAGAGGTATTAAAGTTTGAGTAGGAACTTTGTAATGCGTGATGCGATTTGCTTCTATCTTAGTTTAACTTTAAGTAATATAAAATAAACAAACACACGTTTCAGATTTTTCAGACTCAAAACCCCACAAAAGAGGGTAAGTTAGAATATCAAAGTACTCAAATGGGGTATTCAAGTTTGTATGGAAACTTTTTAATGCGGGGTGCAATTACTTTGTTTAGATACTTTAAGTACAAAACATAAACAATCACATGTTTCAGGATTTTGCAAAACAACCCCCAAAAAGGGGTAAGTTAGGGCATCGAAGAACTCAAACGGGGCATTAAAGTTTGTATGGGTACATTTTCAAAACAAACCCTTAAAAGAGGTCTTTGGGTATCAAAGTATTTTTAAAAAACCTTTTCTATCGAAAATCTATTTCCTTACATTTGGAAAATGGAATATTTTTGTTTTGTTTTGTATTTTAATTTGACGCGGACAAATTCGCGAGCAACAGCTAGTACTATACTACACCTAACATTACGCATATTTCATCTCCTTTTTTTATGACTTGTAATTTTTTCTGTAATGTGGTATTCAGTGTTTTACGTATTTGGTTGATGAATATTATAAACATTAAACAAGATTAACCTGTAACTTTTGCCCCAGGCCTCCTTCAGCCAAGAAATCTTTAACAAGAGATGTGGTAACAGCAAACTCTTCATCATTCAAATGAGGTTTTACAGTCTTCAAGTATTTCTGCAGTGTGTCTGCAAGCTTTGGCACAGGGAGCCTGGGCAGGTTTTGGGGATTCGGAGCTGGCTTACTGGATGTGTAGTTGCAAGTCACTAATAATGAGCTTGCATAGGGCTCCAGGAACATACACCTGTTATGACTACACTGAAATTATAAAAACTCTGCTGTTTTAAATGAGTATTGCAATTTTTTGAGTTCATGTTCTTGTTCTACTAGCAAATCAATGATTTAGTTTCAAGCATTATTTGCCAGCATAACAATGGCGCTAATCAACTCTTCCTTTACGGAAGTCGCGGATCCGAGATGGACCTATTTCCGGTTCTTATGGATGGCCAATTAACTTCCGCAAGTTAAGAGTTAAGACTGGCTTCACAACCCTCATGGAAGTATGGCATAAGTGGAACTATGTCAAACATGTTTATTGCTCCATTAGACACAAAAAATATAACCCACATCCTCACCAATTGCAGAGGATGTGGGTTATAGTTTTCTGTATGTAATGAAGCAATAAGCATGTTTGACGTAATTCCACTTATGCCATTCTTCTATGCGGGGTGCAACTTACATACATACATACATATCATCACGCCCCTGTCTGCGACCAGGGTAGGCAAAGACTATGGACCTCCACTTACTATGCTCCTGACAAACCTCCTTCACCTTCTCCACTCCCATCAATCTCTTCATACATGCCCATTTATTCTTGGTACTTTTAACCTTTTAAGATTGACTTTTTCAGGCAAATGTAATTTGCCATTAGACCATTTTTCTACTTCACACAGGTAACAGTAATTACTAATTTTCATTGAAAATTAACATCTAAGGCCACAGTAGGCACAGGCCTGTCAGACAAGGTGACAATATAAAAATATGTTGAGCAATAAATAGGCTCTAATTAACTTGTTGGCCATTTTATTTTTAATTCAGGATGGACTAAAAACTGTATTGTAAAAATGTAATGTTCCTTACCACTTTCTGAATACCTCGCATCATTTTGAGGTTCTGAAAAAATTATTGATATAAATTTTTAAATTATTTTTTTCTAAAGTATTTTTATCACTATTTTATATTTACAATGATTTATAATATAAAGATATTTAAATGCAACTATCGTAAAATTATCACGGACTATTGAAATAATTTAAGAAACTTATCAGGTGGGTGAGAATTATAATCATTTATGAAAGAAACGTAACAAAATTCATACATTGGACAAAGATCAGAGTCCAATTTTTATACGTGTTTGCTAATTGTTATCAACAAAATTGGCTGATATATCGTATAAATTAAACATTGATATAATAATTTACCTTGTTTTATTAAGCTCTATTGCAACTACGTGTAATAGCTTTTATAAACTTCCATCAATTTCGAGTACGAGAATGCTATTACCAAGACACTTGAAGTGAAAGTAGTGTAGTTTCAACCAACACTGACAATCTATATATATTTTGAACACGTACACTTAAAAAAAATTAGTTTTTTGTTAACATTAACCGGTCTCGTTTGACTGTTGATCTAATACACAAAATCTAATAATATCTAAGATATTATTAGGTAATTTTAAAAAACTTCCACAACCAAATCGCGTTATTTATATAGAATTGTCTATGAACCATGCATGAGCATTTGAGCATTATTTAATGGAGAAAAGGCATGAGAACACATAATACACTTGCTCTGAGATAATAGCACTACGTTTATTACGTCAATCCAAATTCCAAACTTTGAAACTTGTTAACGTTTCGTCGAAAAACGAAGGGAAGAACGTTCAATTGAAAATAAAAAACTTAGTGGGTATATAATAATGTTGTGTTGGGTCATAAAAAAAATTCATATTTAAAAAAAATATATTTTTCCGATGTGACACCTGTCAAACGTTGAATGTATGTACTGAACAATTTTAATCAACGAAACCGAATGGAGCCAAACATTAAGTCAATGGAGCCAAACGACTTTTTTGTATTATAATTTTTTTCATTGTTTTTTACACTCATAATTAGAGATACATGTTTTTTACACTCATAATTAGAGATACCCATCTCTAATTATGAGTGTAAAAAACAATGAAAAAAATGGATAAATATCATTGAGATAAATACTCACTAGAAAGATAAATATGGATAAATATCCATATTTATCCATTTTTACTCAATATTTATCCAAAAAAGTGGATAAATATTTTTAATTATGGTTTATTATTTATATTTAGTAAAACAAAGTATATTTTTAAGTTTAATTGTAAACATTGGTATAATTTAATAGCATGTACAGGACAGGTAGTATATTAAGTGGTAGTCTCTGAGTTTCTTGAGTGGAAGGCACTCAAACTACTCAAAGGCACTCGCGAGCACTAAAAGACACCAAAGGCACTCAAGACACTCGCGGGCACTCAAAGGCACTCGCGGGTACTTATAGGCACTCATAGGCACTCGCGGGCACTCAAAGGCACTTACGGGCACTCGCAGGTATTTAACTTAAATAAAGTCTTGAAAACATTTCCACCATACCTGGTTGAGTCGAAGCCTTACAATCTGAAGAGATTGTTAAATGAACAATCCTATCATTGCAGGCGAATGCTCCCGGTGAAGGAGACTACCGAATGTTGTGAGATGTGAGTATGTTGCAATTAGTTTACATTCCCACCGCAATTAGTGAGATGTTATCGACTAGAAAAACGTAGGTACTAAAACAGTATTGTTACATAAAACAATGGCAAACTGAGAAGTAATCGTACGTAATTATTCGATAAAAAATAAATTCTAATGAATTTTGTTATAAAAAACACAAAAAATTAATATCCATGTTTTAGGATAAATACTCAGTAAAAACTGATATTTATTAGATATTTATCCTTTGACGGATATTTATCGGGTAAAAACCCATCTCTACTCATAATCACAATAGTCGGATTAAGGTGTTCCACATAGATACATGTATAGATATAGCTACAAGGAGCGACTTACAATATGTATGTAACAAGGTACTCTTTGGGAGCGACATAGAGTTGTTAAAAGCACCAAATATTAATTAATTACTTTATCTCGAATTCCGGAAATGGTTTTACTGCATCGTAGGACAAAACCTTAGGCTTAAACTCTTCAGCGCCCACTGCACAGTGTGTTGTTTTACCTTAGTTGCGGTCATCCTCGTTTCATGTGTTTTTTAGAAAAATAATATTCAAACAAAGTTCCTAATAAAACTCTCCAGGCTGTATCTATCATAACTTTAGAGAAACTTAGAAAATCGAAAAAATCGTTAAAAACCATGAAATCAGATTATTTCCTTTCCAGAAAATGATTTTTCCTTAAATATTTCATGTTATAATAGAAAACTACTAAAAGCACCAATAAATAAAAAAATATCCACTTTTTTTTCTGATTTCGTTTTTTTCTGAAGATTTTCTACATTATTAGCATTTTTTTCAACACGGATATGTTAATTACAGTAATAAGTACTACCACAAATAAAACCAAATGCCACAAACAGAAGAGTTCAGAAATATTGAATTTTTAAATTTTGTGGTAGGGTTGTCACTGCATATTTATCCTGTCTGCAAAAAGGCAATATTTTACATTCATATCTTACTTTACTCACTTCTTAATTTTATTTTCTTCGAGAGGACTGGTGACACAGCGGAAATGTCCCTCCGATTCTAAAGTGACACAATATATTACAGAGGTCAATTTTCGGACGTTGGCATTCCAAAAACTTTTAGATCTGATCTGATTTAAAACAGTAGTAGTAGTAGCACAACTTCCAAATAGTCGTGATTTTGTGGTGTTCTTAAATGAATATGAACAAGGAAATTGGGTACATAGAAGCATTTTAAAATAATATCGTTAAATTTGAACAAAATTTAGCAAGTATTTAATAGTAAATATTTTTTACTAAGTGCTTGCCCATTTCTGGAGTGAGCCGTATATGACCCTTGATCAAAGGTCGGAAAACTGGATAAATATTGTACCTTGCTAACATGGAATTCGCTTTTGTATCGGGTACCGGGTTTTGACGACCTTACGAAGTCAAGTATAAAATTGAAGGAAAATAAACGTTATAAAGCTTTTAACAATTTTCAACCCCAGCAATGCACCGTTAGATAGAAAGAGATAACTGTAAAATAATCTAAAGGTGCGAGCGAGATAGACATACCTGCTTGTCCCCGGCAGCGTGTTATTTTGCATCAGTCACGGACATCCTCGTTTCATGTGGTTTTTAGAAAGATAATACTCAAACAAAGCTCTTAATTAAACTCTCCTGGCTTTATCTATCATAGTTTTAGAGATATGTAAAAAATCGATAGATACTATAAAATTAGATTATTCCCTTTCCTCTAAATAAGTTTTCGTTAAATATTTCATGTTATGATAGAAAACTACTAAAAGTGCCAATAAGTCCAAAAAATAAAAAAAATATCAAGCTGTCCTACACCATAATTAATTTTTTTCTATAATTTCATCCATTTTTTTGAAGACTTTGTACATATTAGCATGTTTTTTTCAACGCCGATTTGTTAATTACAGTAATAAGTACTACCCCAAAAAAATCCAGATGCGACAAACACAAGAGTTCAGAAATATTGTATTTTTAAATTTTGGGTTAGGGTTATCACTGAATATTTATCCTGTCTGCAAATTGCAATATTTTATATTCATTGAGTGTAGCACATTACCAATAGGTATGTTACCGGACCAAGCCAGTGAATCAAGGAACAAGTTTTGATGTTATAATCGAGAGCACCATACACGAAAGTTGGGCCGGTAAACGACCATCACAGACTTGTTTCACCATGCACTGGAATCGTCTGATCCTTATTTATCCTCTTTGATACTTAGTACACGTGACAAACAGAAAAAAATCTGTACTTATACCTGATAAAGTTCTTCGCCTTCTGTGACCACGGAAAATGTTCGTTACCATCATTACCCATCAGCAGACATTAGTATTGAAGCTGCTGATATCACACTAGCAACAGACGAAATCATTCCGCAATCCGATAATAAGGAAAATGAATGAACTTTCAGTATTTGCCAGGATAATTTATCTTTATTCACATAATGTAATGCACATACGTGAATATTATAACTAAATACGTCAATACTATGTAACGTACATAGTTTAAAATGTAACTTAAAAATGTAAAATTTCGATTAATTTACCATATGGACTATGTTATCTAAACCTCATGAAGGAATTTGAATTGTTGTGGGCTACGAACGCTCCCAAATGAATAAAAAAAAATGAATAAAATGTTATATTTACCAACACTAAAATAAGTCGCATCTTTGTATCTACTACCACATACAAGTTAATACATATTCGAAATATTGTTGTTGTTGTTGTTGTATTAACACATAACCTTCCATTTATTCACGGTGTCGGGTAAAAATTTATACATTTCGTGACAACCCTATTTCCATAGAAATCTAAAAAAAAAACCTTAGAAACGCAGTATTTCCGAGATAAAAGCTTACTTTTTCTTTATTCGGTATATAATATAATAAACTATAATATTGGTTAAAAAAAATGCTTATTTAGTACAGTTAATTTTATATAAATATATTTTTTTAAATTAACAAATATTTTTTTCTCGCTTTTTGCTCCGCTTAAGGACTTACGATTTTCACATTTAGTAATGTTTAAATAGACAGTCAATTTCTATTTTTTACAAAGTGAAGTTTCACATATTTCTGGAAATACAGGCAAAAACATTTTTCTTGAAGTTCAGTGACTATTCGAAAAAAAATTATATCTCCATAATAAAAGTAAGTATGTATCTAAATGGGTTAAATTTTTATTGAATTGATATTCAATTATTTTTTGTGAAATTACTCGACTAGTTTGTTATAATTATTAATACAAAGATCGAACACTCAGAAAAAACACGCAGAAAAAATTCCTTCGATCCGGTCGGATTCGAACCGACGTCTTTTTGCATACCGTGCCAGACGCTATACCAACTAAGCCACGGAACGAACCAACGGACCTCACGAATTTTTCAACTCACAGAAAAAACACTCAGAAAAATTGACATAAAATTTTTTTTTTGAGTGTTTTTTCTGCAATAGATTTATCATAGATGGCGCTACGACTAAAAAGTCGTTGAAAGACCAAGTACAAAGACACGACGCAAGCCCATAGAAAAATTCGTGAGGTCCGTTGGTTCGTTCCGTGGCTTAGTTGGTGTAGCGTCTGACACGGTATACAAGAAGACGTCGGTTCGAATCCGACCGGATCGAAGGAATTTTTTCTGAGTGTTTTTTCTGAGTGTTCGATCTTTGTATTAATAATTATAGCAAAGTATATAATAATAATAATAATAATATAATAATAATATAATATAATAATAATAATAATAAAATATCTTTGTTTATCTCCACAACACAATACAAAGAAACGTTACAATTACAGTAAATATACATTATTACGTAAGCTTAGGGTAATGTATTGTGGGAGACTGGAGCCCAAACTAAGCAGAGCTTGTAATATGGGTCTCCAGGCACCCAACCCCTAGGATAGTCATGTTAGTAGTAATGTCGAAATACAAAGTACTGAGGAGGAAGTAAAAAATAAGTATAACAAACCATGCGTGCGCGCGTGAGCGCGCGAGTGAGTAAGTGAGTGTGTCTGAGTGCGTGAGTGAGCGTGTGCCTGAGTGTGTGAGTGCTTGTGTGTCTGTGTGTGTGCGTGTGTGTTTGTGAGTGTGGAAGTGTGAGGTTCGTAGTTAAGGAGCAAGAGATATCTGGTCAATTTTAGTTTGCATTCGTATTTGGAGAGTTCACAAAAAGGGGATATATTATTTAATTTATTATATAAGAAAGGGCCTAGGAATTGAAAGAAACGCTGAGCAGTTGTTGTCGAAACTAATTTTGAAGGACATATATTTATGCGTCGTGAAGCCAGAAGGGATGGAGTGAAAGATGTCTGAGAGTGTTGTTTCAAAACAGTAAACAAAATAAAGAGCTGCCTGACTGTAAGAACTTTGAATGATTTGTATAGATCAGCAGTCGGGTACCGAAACGGGAGACGTGAACTGACCTTCAGAATTGCCCTCTGGGCTCGTTCAAGGGAAATTAAAAAAGACATACAAGCACCACCCCAAGAGGTGATGCAGTAAATAATAAGTGATTGACACAGAGAGAAATATATTGATTTTAGAACATCAGAATTCGCAATGTTACGTAAAGTTTTAAATATATAAATAGGTTTCCTTACTCTAGTAGCAAGTAAGTCGATATGCGGCCGAAAGCTGAGATGACAATCGATTTGGACACCCAGATATCTGTATTGTTTTGTTAATTGTAGATTAGGACAAGAGCACATATTACTATCTATGTTACAGTTGTGAGCTACTAGTTGAAAGTTTCTAGTTAAATTTAAAGTTAAGTTTTTTAAATTAAAAATCATATATTCCGACTTATTTGAGTTTAAGGTCAAAAAATTGCGCTTCAACCACAAGGCTACCAAATTCAGACCCTCTTGGGCAGCCTGGAACAAATCCTCCCAAGACTTGGCGGAAAAAACGAGAGCAGTGTCAGAGGTAATTTGAAGCTGGCAAAGATCATTAATATAAATGAGAAAGAGGGTTGGGCCTAGAATACTTCCTTGTGGGATTCCGTATGTAGTCAAAAGATCATCACTAACAGATCCATCTATAGTAACACACTGATGGCGGTTTGACAGATAGCTATGGAAAAGTAGAAACTGTTTATCCCTAATACCAAGGGCTTCCAATTTGTTTAATAGCATAGGGATTGATACTGTGTCAAATGCTTTTTTTAAATCTAGAAATATTGCGAGAGTTTTATATTTACAGTCTAGACTGCTGATTACAAAATTAATTAAGTCGTGAACAGCATCAGTAGCTAATTTGCCGAGACGAAAACCAAACTGAGATGATGATAACATATTATTCGATTCAAGGTATTTGACTAATCTATTGTTAATCAAGCGCTCCAGGATTTTCGAAATAGCTGGTAACACCGAGATAGGCCGATAATTGTTAACGCTGGTTTTATCCCCACTTTTGTATACGGGATGTATCATAGATTTTTTAAACTAGTGGAGTAATTTCACAAAAA